TTCTTGCGTATTTGTGAGCCAAAATATTAAAGGCATATAAATAACATTTAAGAGAGCTGCAAAGCAAGTGCTCGACTAAGAGATGCCCTGTAGCTGGTGGGAGAATTGCAGCCTTAATATCGAAATGAAGAATGATTCAGAAAAAATGATGAAGATGTGATTGCAGCAGATTTTCAACTGCACTTGCTGACGAACTTTAAACGCATCTACTCCCAATGCTCTAATAGCTACAGGGTATTATGGTCGTAAAAATAAATTTTACGTTTGGGAAAAGTTTTTTTGAAATATATTCTTAAATTTAATGTGCGGCAAAGTAAACAAGCGATACTTATGTACTAACCCAATTGGTTTATAATCCAAGCAACACTCGTAAAACTTGACGTGAGTGTGTGTGCGAGTGTGCGTGTGTGCGTGTGTGTATGGATTAAGAGAATGATTATTATTAGAACGCTCATTAGGAATGCTTGGGCTTAGCTGGGATTTGAGCAGAAATGTATTTAAAATAAATAGATAAAAAAGTATTTCAAAATGAAATGAAAATTTCGTTGGAGAAAGTTTTTGGGGCAACCGCTGAGAAAGAGGGAGACAGAGAGAGAAAAGGGAAATTTATATAAGCTCCTCTTTAAATGAAGATTTCTTGCTGCAAATATCCATTACGAGCTGCTGCTGCTCATCCTTTGCAAAACGTGAGTGGATAACCCAATGACAGCAGGCAGCATTGCTGGTCAGCCCCAATAGATGGTGCGGGGGTTGGTGGGCTTGCAATTGGAGCTAGCGGCTGGTCGATGACAACTCCATTTGGGGGGCGTTGAATGGAGGTCCGTGCTGGCCATAAGTCACCCTTCAATGGTAGAGAGCCAGAAATTAAAGTTGGGCAGAGTTAAGCGTTGACAGCTCGTACACAGGCAGAGGAGGGCATGCGACAGCCGGCATGCGGCATGTGGCATGTGGCATGTAGCTAAGCTGAGATCGTGCGTTGCGTTAAGTGAAAATACAAGAAAATTGAGGCACGCGACGAATTACAGCTGAAAATGTGAATGGGAAGCTTGGAGCTGGGAATTAGGCGCCTCACTGAGTGGCCAATGGGTATGTGACCTGATGACGTGTGTGTGCGAGTGTGTGCGAGTGTGTGTATTTGTCAAATGTGAGCAACTGTACGTTGACAAGATTTATGTGGCATCAGCAGCTGGCGAAAGGAAGGAGCGGCGAAGGCAAGGGCCAAGCTGAGCCAAATGAGCGCGGAGCAGTAGCTGGGCTAAGGAGAAGGAGGCCAGGGACGAGCTATGACAATGGCAAATAAAAGATTTTTATTATCACATTATGCGGCAGCAGATTTCGCCCTTAGACTAGACTAGTTTACGTTTTCTTGTTGCCACGCCTACTGCTGCAGCGCCTTGGCTTGGATTGGGGCCAAGTTGTTAAGTTGCTTTGGCTAGATTTCTGGGTTGGCTTAAAAAAGCAAAACGCAGGTTGGCCAAATTCAATTTGCCAAATGAAATTTTCTAGATACTGGTCCAAAAGAGTACAAAGAGCAACTGTGGCTATGTACGCAACTATGCAGCTATGCAGATACCCTATAAGAAATACGTAAGAGAAAATTTGAAATAGAGAAATTTTGAATTCTGGAAGAAACTTATTTTAGAGGCTATCTATGATATAATTGCCTCTTTTTATGCTATAAGTACAGGGTATATAGGTCATATCATCTTGGCCACTCTCTGTACTCTCCATTTACAGGGTATACTGAGTAAGTTCCTCCAACCAACCTAGCTTAAAGGGTCTCTATATTAAGTTCCAGCTGGGTTTCCACCTTAACAGGGTATGTAGAGAGCTTTGACAACTATGCTTTGACAAACTACCTCGAATTTTTTGCTCGCTTAACAGGGTATATGTAGATATATACATAGAGTATTAACAACGACGTCAGCATTGCAGACATTGTGTGTTCCTCTTGGCTGCGTCGTCTAACGTCTATCGTCTATTTTGGTCGTCTGACTCGACGGGAATTACTAATTTGGATGTTATGCTCCCGGATTTGTTGCTGCATTACATGCTAATTATACAAAAATAGAACACGTGAGCTCGTCAGGCCCGCTTCGTAGGGTGACAGGGAAGCTGCTCTGGGCGGGGCGCCACAGGCATTCTCGCCTTTTTCCGAGGGGGTGTCAACTGTTGCATGTCGTCGCCTGCTTAGAACCGGGGAGCCGAAAACTTTTGCGCGCCTCGTGTCGCATCAGTCAACCACGCAGCTTCAAGATTGATGCGACGCCACCTGAAGGCAACCCAAAGAGGGCAAGTAAAGGAGAGAGGGCAACGGAGAGAGGCAGTGGCTGGCCCAACTGACAGACAGGAAGAGAGCAACAGCTGCCGGAACGAAACTATTTGGGTCAAACTTGGCAGCAGGGAGATGCACAACTGAAATGTCCATCCGAGCGCGGTGTGAATCGCCATGGAGCACAGCCAATGCCCCAGACTGAGAGTGAGTGAGAGAGAGAGAGAGCTATGCAACTGGGGCCACAGCTTAGCTGTTTTGGCAGTCAGAGAAATTAATAAAATTTTGCGAGCAATTGCAAAAAATTAGCCATGGCCGATGATTGTTGATGTTGCAATCATTAATAATGTACCCCAAAGGGGCGGCGACTGGGTAGACAGGGGCAGAGACGGCTCGGGGCGTAGTTGACATGATTAATGTTTGGTTTGTGTGCGTGGCATATCTATAAGGCAAGGTAATCATGAGCAATGCGCGTCTGTTATTGTTGTGGCATGAGAAATTCTAATTGCAAGCCAAAGCGTACACAAATTATTTATGTTTCTTTGGTTGATTGATAAAGATTGATTATCGATTGACATTGATCGTAGTAGCAGAAAAACTCTTGTTTATAGTCAACACAACTAAAGTGTGTGAAAATTGTAATTGGAATTAAGTTAAAGGTTTTACAAAATATCATTTTATACTGATTGATAGTGATTGATTATGAGTTGCCATTGATGTCAAAACTGAGATTTACTGTTCGATGGATAACTCAAATAACAGCTATAAGCTTGAGGCATACCTACATTGCAGCTAGTTAAATATGGAAAATTTCAATTGTTGTCAAATGATTGATAGTGATTGATTGACACCATAAAGGCAACTGGAAACCAAACTCAATGATTCTTAATGATTGCTTGATGTCGATTATTGATTGTGATTGACATTAATTTCTAAACAAAATTAGCAACTCTTACAAATCAATTAAGCTGATGTTAAGGTTGAGCTCAATTGCAGGCAGTAAAACGTTTGCAATTGCCAGCAAAACAAAGTTTAATTATAGAGAATTATTTCAGCTATTTTGATCAAACAAAAAACAACAACCAAAATGTGTTAATTAATGATGTGCCAAACTATTTGCACAAAAATGGCAATGAATATTTTCGATTGCTGTCAAAATTGGAATTTATGAAAAATAAATGTGCTTTAACAATTGCATATTAGGAGCATGCTGTAACTGTGCCAGCCCCCTATATAGTCAGTCAGACATCTATATATATAAATATTTAGTCAATTATGATTTCAACTAGAAGCCAAATGCATTTTCGTCTGTCAAATTGCAAAGTTACATTTAATAAATTGTTTTTTTTTTTCATGCATTTTTGGGTTAACAGGGGGGTAAGACTATAAGCCACCCGCCGGTCCGCTAGGCCAAGCGTCCACATGTCAGCTGACAATCAAAAATGTCAGACGGGCAACCAGCTACAGACCGAGTGGAGCGGAGTGGAGAATTGCGACTGAAACTAAAACTAAAAGTTAAACTAAAACTAAGTAGCGAACGACAGAGTGGAGCTTGAGTGGGGCCTGAGTGGTGCAGAGAGGGGACCCATAGCTGCTGCTGCTGCTGCTGCTGCAGCTGTTGTTGTTGCTGCTGTGTAATCCGTCATTTGTTCGCATTCCATTCAAGGCTGCCTGGCCAGATCCGCCTCAGTGGGTCTCCGTCAGTCAAGCCACTGGCAATCTGTCTCGCTCTATACTCGATCTGTCTAGCCATCTCTCTTACTCCGTATTTATCTGTTTCTTTCTCGCTCTCTGTTGCACCTGGACAGCTGGCTGGCTGGCTTGCTGGCTTGCTTAGCGGCCATTTGGCAAATTGCAACTTTTCGATAAATTCGAATCATTTGTCATTGACACAAATAGCTTTCAAATTGCATACACAGCTAGGCACGAGACAGCCGGGGTGTGCGCGTGTGTGTGAGTGTGTGCTGGGAGAGGTATGTAATTGTTGTTGCTGTTGTGCAGCAACTGCTGCAACTGACGACGTTCTCAGCGGAAATTCCCAAATACAGCCAAACAAACACAAACAAAACAGAGATCAGAGACCCACTCTCGCTGCTTGAAATGCTCTAACTAAGTAGGGTATATTAACTATGAGAAACTAAAAAGTTGGTAAGTATGTAGAGAGCAATCATTCATAAACACAAATCTGAAAGAAATATCTATATAAAATATGTGCAAGAAAGAGTGCTCTAGTCGTAAGGGTCCGACTAGATCATACCCTGAACTCTGCGCAGCGCCGCTTTTTCAATTATTCTACGTTTCATTTAGAGTTTTCTCAATGGGCCTGGGGTAATCAATCAACTAAAAAATATGGAAAACATGAAAATTAAAAATAAATTAAAAATATATTTTAAAAAAATATATAAAATGTTGCGAATATAAAATAAAATTACGTAAAATTCAATAGAACTGAATTAAATGATTAATTTATTAAGTTATTATTTAAAATTAACATTTTTTGTAATAATTCAATTAAAAAATTGATATATTAAAGAAATTCATTTTTTTTATGATGCATGTATTTAAAAAAAATATGTAAGATATATTATTATATTATATATTATATTATTTCATTAAATTTATTATTTCTTTTTATTTTTTAATGAAGTAATAAAAAATTGTCTGCTTAATAGTTTTAATTATTTATTTTGATTATTAATATAAATATTTATTTTTGTTTTTTTTTCGTGGACTTTATTTGTTTAATATTTCCCTCGGAATAGTAAGATCATTTTAACGTTAAGCAATTTTTTTGCTGTGTTTTGTTTTGATTTTTGTTATTATCTTTGGGCTTGTTGTTGTTATCGCCGGTGGTGGGGCATGCCCCACGTTGCCATCGAGTTGCTGGCGATTTCAAGCTGTGTCCCAGCGGCGAACAATCGCATAACAACATTGTTATGCCATCTCGCTTGCACGCGCTCACAATGACCCAGTTTCCAAGCGGAATGTAAACAAATTTGACCTGGAAAAAGCGTTGCCTTGTTATTGTTGCTGTTGCTGTTCTTTTGTAAACAAAACGCAACAACGACTCAGACGCCATCAACGGCAGCAGCGGCTCAATGAATGTGCATGTGTGTGTGTGTGTAAGTTGCGTTTTCATTTTGGTCTTTAATGCTAACAACAAAAAATTTTGCGTTACCAAAGTCAATTTTGCTAATGTGAAATTGTTGCGGTCTACAAGGAGGGTGCGAAAGAGACAGAAATTAGAGAGAGGCAGAGCGAGTGAAATGGAAACAAGAGTTGTTGCTGCATGTTGCCAGGTTGCATGAACGATTTGCAACGAAGCAAAAGTGCAGAAAAAAATCTAAGACTAAAAATGAATATATATAATCAAAGAGACCCAAAGACAACAATGGATCATTAACAATGCATTGGGTGTAAGAAAAACTTAGGACACCTTTCGAATTAGCCTGAGGATTATTAATACGCTAGCCACGCCCACTGCGCCCGCATAACAAACTATTTAGTTTGCTTAAAAAAAACACGGTTTTTGGAAAGCTTTTTCAACTTATCAAAGGGCTTACCACTGGGTGTAGCTTGATCTATTTAATTTTTATTCTAATATTACTCAGAGTATCTTAAGAAATCGATTCTAATTATGCGAAAATGTATATTAACTTTTGCAATTAGTCATTTTAATCTGCTTTTTTACATACCTAAACTTCAACTTTTCCTGGCATCGTGTTACATAGAACCTGAATAAGATAATATAAAAATAATTATAAATAATTTTAAGTCGGGATTAAATAAATGGAAAACTTCTCTTTTTCTAGCAGAAAATTCTGGTATTCCATATGATAGGGGCCTAGAATTGTGAGAACTCTAGGTAACTTACCCACTATATCTTTACTTATTAAGCTAAGCTGTGAAAACTTACCGATTGAATCAAAATCATAAATACAAATAAAACACTTTCACGTCTTAAGCGTCAGCCAACTAGTAGCTAAAAGCCACATAGATGATGAAAGCCAAGACAACTTCTATCTGGATGCTAAACGATCGAAGCGACAATATCCCATTGTACGAAGAAAAACTCTTCCTGTTCATCCAATCCGCATGAAACTGTATACTTGAATACACGCTTGGACCACCCGTAGTTGATCACAAGGAGACGACACCCGCCAGTTTATTATCGCATCTCAAGGGTCCACCTGAATCACCAATGCTGGGCCCAGCCATCGTTTCAAGTCCGGCGCAAATGGTACCAGGTATATGAAAAAGCTTGTCACAAGTCTCGGCATTGATAATCGGTACGTATAATCCTTGCAGGGAATTCGTATCACGTGAAGCAGACTTAAGTATAGAATGGCAATCAATTAATCTTGTTATCGATACACAAGTAGCAAAAATTATACTATTATAGAAGTTCCACTAAATTGGATAAAATAATTAATTTACTTACGTGATGAGAATGACCCCAGCCGCACACTAGACACAGGGTACCCTCATGTAACTGTTCCTTGTTGAGAGGCAGAAATGCAATACCTCCATATTCGGGTTCCATATAGCCAGCAGGGAAGATCAATGCAATATCGTTAGTAAATTCATCAGAGTCTTTATGGGTGCGCCATTTTAAGACTTTGAACATAATCATTGTTGGACTTCTTTTGTTAAGGTACTTGTTCCCTATTACAACCAATGTATTTGTTATCTCTTCCCCCTCAAATATACCTTCTTTATGCAATGGCCTGCTGTGACAATCACTCGACGGCTAAGAATATTCCCACCACAAAAATGGCCACTGCCCAATTGCTCCAGCTCTTGATGAAGTCGACGCAGAGAGACCTGATATGGAACCTCTTCAAGGTCGCAATCAACCCGTTTACAATTTTGGTTTCATTACCTACAGTTTGAAAGAATAATCAAAGAGGAGTACGTAAACCATATGTATGAACTATTTATAAATATATTGACAGCTGATAGAATAGAATCTCCGAGCCTCAGAGAAATAATGAAGGTGGGAAGATGGTGGAGGCCATACTCCGGCTTCATTCAAGGCGGAGTTGTAATTATTTGATCAAAAATTATTTAAAGTTTTTGGTGTTACATTTTTACTTATCTACACATACATAAATATACATATATGTGCGAGTAGAAGTGTAACTGGAAGTGCTTGTTGTCACAATATAATATGTTTGCAAGCGCCGATCGGAGGGGTTCACGGTAGGTTTTAGTCGGCCACTTCCGACCATCGCTGCTATACTCGTAAACATACTACTGCTATTGCTATGGCTTACCGATATATGCCAATGTTAATGGGCACAATAAGATGGTATGAATCGTTAGTATCGCTGACAGGAGCATCAACATTGCTGACGGAAAATTCGCACATAAAAATTCTGAAATTGAAATTTTGAAATTACTGCTAAAAAATTGAATCACATTAAAAAGCTAACTATTGATTTGTGTTGAGTTCGAAAAAATGTAAATGTAAATGAAAGCTTGTCGGACAGGCCGATGGACGGATGAACAGACGGACGGACGGACAAACAGGCATGCGGGCGGGCGGTCTGTCTTGTCGGGTTTGTCGTAATAAATAAGATATTTACCTTATGGGGTCTATTACGCATCCATCCGCATGTTAAATACATTTTAGCAAAACTAGTATATTTGATTTCCCATTTTTAATGTGTTCACGGTATGAAAATATCTTAAAAGCCGAGACACTTACCGATTGACTCAAACACATAAATAAGAAAAAGACACTTTCACGTCTTAAGTGTTAGCCGACTTAGATAAAAGCCACATAGATGATGAAAGCCAACACAACTTCTCTCTGGATGCAAAACGATCGAAGCGACAATATTCCATTGTACAAGGAATTACTCTGTTCGTTTATCCAATTCGCATGATACTGCATACTTGAATACGCGCTTGGACCACCACTAACTCTTCCCACGGAGACGACAGCCGCCAGTTTATCATCGCATCTCAAGGGTCCACCTGAATCACCAAAGCTGGGCCCAGTCGTCGTATCAAATCCGGCGCAAATGGTACCAGGTATATGAAAAAGCTTGTCACAAGTCTCGGCATTGATAATCGGTACGATTAATCCTTGCAGAGAATTCGTAGAACTTGCAATAAACTTAAGTGAGGAATGGCAATCAATTAATCTTGTTATCGATACACAAGTAGCAAAAATTATACTATTATAGAAGTTCCACTAAATTGGATAAAATAATTAATTTACTTACGTGATCAGATCGACCCCAGCCGGACAGTAGACAGCGGGTACCCTCGTGTAACTGCTCCGTGTTGAGAGGCAGAAATGCAACAGCTCCATATTCGGGTTCCATATCGCCAGCAGTGAAGATCAATCCAATATCGTTTCTATATCGATGATACTCCTTATGGCTGAGCCATTGTGAGATTTTGAACACCTTCATTGTTCGACTTCTGAGGTTAAGGTACTTGTTCCCTATTACAACCAATGTCGTTTTAGGATTTTCCCCCCTGCAGAAAATAATATTAGAACAGCTAAAAATTAACTCAAATATACCTTCTTTATGCAATGGGCTGCTGTGACAATCACTCGACGGCTAAGAATACTCCCACCACAGTAATGGCCACTGCCCAATCTCTTGCGATCATGACTGAGTCGACGCAGAGAGGCCTGATATGGAACCTGCTCAAGGTCGCAATCAAACCCGTTTATAATTCTGGTTTCATTACCTACAGTTGGAAAGAATAATCAAAGAGGAGTACGTAAACCATATGTATGAACTATTTATAAATATATTGACAGCTGATAGAATAGAATCTCCGAGCCTCAGAGAAATAATGAAGGTGAGAAGGTAGAGGCTATACTCCGGTTTGATTCAAAGTTATTGGTGTTACATTTTTACTTATCTACACACATAAATACATGTATATATACGAGTAGAAGTGTAACTGGAAGTGCTTGAGGGGTTCACGGTAGGTCTTAGTCGGCCACTTCCGACCATCGCTGCTATACTCGTAAACATACTACTGCTATTGCTATGGCTTACCGATATATGCCAATGTTAATGGGAACAATAAGATAATATGAATTATTAGTATCGCTGACAGGAGCATCAACATTGCTGACGGAAAATTCGGGCACAAAAATTTTGAAATTCTGAAATTTTGAAATTTTTGAAAAAGCTAACTATTGATTTGCGTTGAGTTCGAAAAAATGTAAATGTAAACGAAAGCTTGTCGGACGGACGGACTCACAGGCGGACGGACGGACGGTCTGGTCCGGTTTGTCGTCCTAATAAATAAGATATTTACCTTATGGGGTCTATTACGCCTCCATCCGCATGTTAAATACATTTTAGCAAAACTAGTATATTTGATTTCCCATTTTTAATGTGTTCACGGCATGAAAATATCTTAAAAGCAGACACTTACCGAGTGAATAAAAATCATAAATACGAATAAGACACTTTCACGTCTTAAGCGTTAGCCAACTAGTAGCTAGAGGTCACATAGATGATGAAAGCCAAGATAACTTCTCTCTGGATGCAAAACGATCGAAGCGACAATATTCCATTGTACAAGGAATTACTCTGTTTGTTTATCCAATTCGCATGATACCGCATACTTGAATACGCGCTTGGACCTCCCGCAGCTCTTCCCACGGAGACGATACCTGTCAGTTTGTTGCCACATCTAAGGGGCCCACCTGAATCACCAAAGCTGGGCCCGGTCGTTGTTGTATATCCGGCGCACACGGTGCCAGGAATATTATAGAGCATGTAGCAAGTATCGGCTCTGATAATCGGTACAAATGCCGCCCGCAATTTAATCGATGGACGTGAAGTGACCTTAAGTAAGGAATAATCGATTAATCTTGTTATCGATACACAAGTAGCAGAAATTTTAATAATGTAGAATTTCCAATAAATTGGATTAAATAATTAATTCGTTTACCTTATCAGTTTGACCCCAGCCGGACACTAGACAGGTGGTACCTGGGCGTTCCCACCCCCTGTTTATGGGGAGATATGCAACAGCTCCATGAACAGGATGCATTTCGCCAGCAGTCAGTATCAATGCAATATCGTTTTTAACTCGACGATAGTTGTAATGGCTACGCCATTTCGAGACTCGGAGCTCCTTCATGGTTGAACTTCTTTCGTTAAGGTACCGGTTCCCTATTACAACTACTACCCCTCTTGGCCTTTCCCCCCTGCAGATAATAATATTAGAACAGCTAAAGATTCACTCAAATATACATTCTTTAAGCAATGGGCTGCTGTCACAATCACTCGACGGCTAAGAATACTCCCACCACAGAAATGGCCACTGCCCCGTCGGTAGCGCTCTTGACGGAGTCGACGCAGAGAGACCTGATATGGAACCTCTTCAATGTCGCAATCAAACCCGTTTATAATTCTGGTTTCATTACCTACAGTTTGAAAGAATAATCAAAGATGTATACGTAAACCATATGTATGAACTATTTGTAAATATATTGACAGCTGATAGAATAGAATCTCCGAGCCTCAGAGAAATAATGAAGGTGGGAAGGTAGAGGCCATACTCCGGTTTGATTCAAGGCGGAGTTGTAATTATTTGATCAAAAATTATTTAAAGTTTTTGGTGTTACATTTTTACTTATCTACACACACATAAATATACATATATGTGCGAGTAGAAGTGTAACTGGAAGTGCTTGATGTCACAAGTCATATAATATGTTTGCAAGCGCCGATCGGAGGGGTTCACGGTAGGTTTTAGTCGGCCACTTCCGACCATCGCTGTTACTCGTAAGCATACTACTGTTATTGCTATGGCTTACCGATATCTGCCAATGTTAATTGGCACAATAAGATGGTATGAATCGTTAGTATCGCTGACAGAGGCATCAACATTGCTGACGGAAAATTCGGACACAAAAATTTTGAAATTCTGAAATTTTGAAATTTTCTGTTAAATTAAATCTAATTAAAAATCCAACTGACTTATAATTCATCGTGTTTGATTGGGCTCGAAAGAAATGTATGGCTTATCATACATGCCACTACTAAAGATTTTGCCAATATGTTAAATCATTAAATACTATTTCTTGTAGAACGAAAACTTACAGACAACTCATGCCAGACATTTAGCAAATCAAGAAGAACTTTCATCGTAAGTGACAGCTTTAACGACTAAATTTCTATTGCCTTGCTCTATAGCTCTGTTAATAAGGATATGTATAAAATGTGTCTGATAAATCGGAAAAACATTTGTGATAAGCCATTGAAGCGAGAGAACTTTGAGGGTCTATTAATAGTCGCACTTCTTATGACTATATTTGAGACGAATATCCGGCAAATATTACCTGAGCAGCAAATACAAATCGATGCAGCAAATCAATAACTTTCCAAGACGGCATCCAAAATTCCGATGTAGAAGACGAAAGATTGAATATGGTAGATAGAAGATACAAGCTATTTTAGATGATATATTAGAATATAGAAAAATAACTTCACATTATTATTGATTCCTCGATCAGGCTATCTACCCCTATACAATTTGAACAATCCTATAACCGCCTTTGCTACATACCTCTAAGCTTACTACAACTAAGCCCCTGATAAACGTTGCTAAGAATAGTTCAGTCAGAGCTAAAAATAGTCAGTTTATGTGACCCTTTTTGCTCAATTATTAATAATGGGTTAACATTACATCGACCTCAAGATTTGCCATGCAGTCGGTGGTGCCCGACATTCTTACTGGTTTCATATTTGTAACGAAATGAGCCCCAAAACCGTGTTAATAATTGCTTTCAGTTTTAAAGTTTTGAAGCTCTTTTCTCCATGCTTAACTTTCACAGTTGTTGCTAATGTTGCTGTTGTTGTTGTTGTTGCTGTTGTTGCTGCTGTTTCTTAAGCTGCGTTTCTCTACATTCCTGCCGCGCTTGGCTAGAGAGGGTAGAGGGGTAGAGAGGGGGCTTTCCCATAATTCCACATTTCGTGATTGCAAAAATTTTCACCCATGTCGTTTTTATCTTGGTTTTGTTTTTAATGCTCTCTGGTTATTTATAAAGTTTTCTTTGTTTCATTTTTTACTATTTCGTTTTGGTTTTTTTTTTCTTTTTGGCTTGCATAAAAAATGAAATTTCCTAAAACGTTTCATTAATTTTGTCTACTTCTGTTGTTGCTGAAGCTTTTCGTAGTTTTTTTTACTATTTATGTATTTATTTATTTTTTTTTTAATTTTTTAATTTTTTTCTGCTTGGCGGCCACGCCCCCTAGCTGCCGTTCATTTGGCTGGCGCAACAAAAAAAAGTTTAAAAAATTTGCGAATGGCTCACGTAATAAATTCCATAAATTGCGTTTTACTTTGACACACATAACAACGTTGTTGTTGTCGTCGTTGTTGTAGCTGTCAGTTTTTTGTGGCATTTAGTTCACAGTTAGTTGACGCTCACCGTGAACGTTGCTGTTGCTGTTTTCACTTGAGTTTCATGTTCAGTTTGAAGTGTGTGTGTCTGTCTGTGTGTCTGTGTCTGTGTGTGTGAATCTGTGTGTGGTTTTTCGCAGTCTCTGTTTTTATCTGCACATTTGTTGTTATTATTGTTGATTTTGCCCGCTTTCGCTGTACGCAACGTACAACGAACAACAAAACAACAACAATAACAAGGGCAATGACAACAATAACAGCTGACAAATTGTTAGCCAATTGACAACATCTATTCGTGACAGTCACCAAATGTCATCATCATCATCATCATCATCATCATCATCATCATCATTATCATTAGCATCATTAGCATTATTAGCATCTACGTGGGCGGTCAGAAGGTCAAATTCGCAATTTTCTGCGTTTTTTCTTTGACTCATTTAGCCGTTGCCGTTGCCGTTGCCATTGCCAAAATTTAAAAGCTACAACAGCAAAAACATAAATAAACAACGGTACAATCGGGCATAGCCGACAGCAAAATACTCGCCCTTATCACTGGACGTGCTCCACTGAGCATCACAGCCCCAAAAGTCATTGAGTGAATGCGAAATACTTTGCCTTGATTTGATTTGACAGCCGAAACCAATATACTCTTTTTAGGCTTGCGAACGAGTGTAACAACAAATTTCGAGAAAACAATAAATGGAAATTGTTTTTTGTTTTGTATATTGAGAGCGCGTTTCACGCGGAGTACGAATAATTTGTTGCTTATTTATTGCAAAAAGGAGTCAACGCGCGTCAAAAACAATTGAAATCCAAAGTTGTTGCCGTACTACAAGCAGCGAAACAAACAATAACTAAGTAAAAAGCAACGACAGACAACGTTTAAAGGGGCAACACGTGGAAAATGAGCTGCTGTCGGACGAGGGCGAGGGCGAGTTGAGCGGGAGAGAGAGCAGGAGGCGACCAAGTGACTGAAAAGCGCTAAAAATAACAAAGTGGCAAAAAATGTTGACAGGCCAGCAACAACAGCAACAACAATGACAACAACAATCGTGTCTGGCAAAGTGTGTTGTTTGGCCGTTGTGTACACAACATTTGCAACATTGTTGCAGACACCGCTGCAGCAGTGGAAACGGATGAATTGCATTAATAACGCGCCCAGACGAGACTTGTCGAGGCCGCGCCACAGACACATTAACAACAACAATGACAATTGCAACAGCAACAGCAGCAGCAGCAACAACAACAAGTGCGACGGCGGCATGCAGAAAGTGAAAGAAGATCGTGAATGCCACAGCAAGAGAGAGAGAGAGAGAGCGAGTAAGAGTGGGGATTTTGCAATGAGAGCGTGAGCTGGCAATATTTGCCACAACAGGAACTGTTGCTGTTGGTGTTGTTGCTGCTGTGGCTATGCAAAAATATTTCACTTTTCAAGTGCGCGCACAGCTAAAACACAAATATATTTATATATACATATCTGTACTTGTATATAAAGCGCAGACTAAGTTGCGCTTAAAGTTGAAAGATGAGCAGCAGACACACATTGTAGCAGAGAATGAGGGCAGGAAGTGGGTGCAGTTGGAAGTGGGGGCCATGACTGCCCATGGGCGCTGGGTATTGCCGAGTGCTAAAATAAATCTGGATTGTTAGCTAATGCTTGTTAAATTCTCTTTTTTAACACTTTTTTACATTTTACACTATAAATAGGACACAAACATTTTTTATTTTCAAGCAGTAAGACCTATTCCTCTTTCTCCTCTCTCTCTCTCTCTCTCTCTCTCTCTCTCTATCTTTAGTATGTACTTTAGACTTTCTCTTGAGGTTGAGCGGAATGCGTAATTTTCATTTCTTTCTCTGCGGGTTAGGCTTTTAACTCTTTAGAGAAAGACGGTCAGATCGAGAGCTCCTCGCCTAGAGGTTCGTTCTCTCTTTCTCTGTCGCGCTCTTTCACTCTTCTGCTTTCTCTCTCAATTTTTGTTCTCCTTTTTTATCTTTCCCCCACTCTCTTCTTCTTTTTGTCTTCTGCTTTATCCCTCTCGCTTCCTCGGTTATTCTCTTTCTCTACCTTTCTTCTATCTCTCTTTAACTTTACTTTGCTCTATCTTTCTCTTTCCCTTTGTCTCGCTCATATCAGTCACTTTCTTTTGATATGTCTCTTTTAGATAAAGAGAGTCTAAAAGAGAGACAGAGAGAGAGAGAGAGAGAGAGAGAGAGAGAGTAGTAGATATATAGCTGGAATGCAACACAATAGTCCTTGCCTGACTGCAATTTCTTGGCTAATGGCTCGGCGATTATTCAGCTACTTTCCGTTTGTAATTTGCGGCTGCTGACGACTCGTTGCGGGGCTTGAGGAACTGCCAACTGTTGCAAATAGACGTGCAACATGTATTTGCACAGCGAGTTGCGAGTTGCGAGTGCGAGTGAGAAGGTCGTTAAGAGCATCATTAAGTCTTCGGGCTCGTCTCTCGCATTTTGCGTTTCTCGTCCCTGGTGGCAGGAAGCGGGGAGCCACAGACTTAAAATAAATAAAAACTTCAACTTCAAGTTAAGCGTTTAAGTTGTTTGTTCCTCCGCCTCTCGAGCATTTCTCAACTGCAACATTGTTGCATGGGGCAGACATAATGAACGCCGACCAAAGCAGGGATCCCGCCGGAGGGGCGACGGCCTGTTATCTGTTTTCTGTGCATGCCAAGCGGCTGTTAATAGATCAGCCAAACAGTGTGAACTAACTGACGCAAACATCGGACGAACTGTCAGACACACAGATAGAGGGAGACAGTAGACAGTCAAGAGTTCAAGTTCTTCTTCTTCTCTGCTAATTTGATTTGTGTTGAGCTTCACTGGATTCGGCTTCCTTTTGAAAGGCTTTACTTACTTTTGCTTTATGTTTTCTCCCATTTTTTTAAATTTCTCTCAAGCGAATGTTGTTTATGATAATTGCCAAAGGGACGAGCACTTAAGGCTTTGAAATAATGCTAATTGAGAGCTCGCAGAAGTATTTCATAAATAACTCTTGGCTCACCACTCGGATTGAGCAACTGTTAAATTATTTTAGCGAAGTTCAGAAACGATGTGTACTATAGGCAGACTAGAAATTATATATGGCGAACTCTGCTCAACTTTGAACTCGCGCAGAGTATTTGTGGCTGGTATTTTTACTGGGAATTCGGGCTATATGGGCTTAGTGCAAATGTATGTAACACAGAGCAAGGGGAGTGGTTGACGAGCTGCGTCAGCTATCGAGTAGCCCTCCAAAAGCTAGTAAGCCCTACAAAGTACAGCTTTATCCTATTGCTTCGATATCTGAAGTGCTGATCTAGAATAACCTAGCCAGACCAAGCCTTCCCCATTTAGAGACTTCGAACTAAATAAAGTTCTGCCTTGAGCAAGCGCCAGATTTCCCCCAGGGCATTGAATCAATGCAACTGTAGCTCAGCGCACTGTTCAGGGTATCTCCAAGTCTAGCACTCCCGACTGGCCACTCTTACTCGTTTTCTATATATTTCATAAAGTTTGATTTATAGCAGCTGCGCTGCTCTGGCTCAGCCTCTCTAGCTCTAGCTCTAGCTCTTGCTCTTTCTCTTTCTCCTGTCATATAAAACATTCAAACTTTTACCAAAAATTTTGTTGATTTTCCACGTTTTTCGCTTTTAGTTGTTCGTTTTACGTGTTTCGTTTTTATCGATAAACTGGTCCACGGACCACACAGGCAGTCGCCATAAGACACGCCTCCCATTCACTGCTAGCACGAAAAAAATATAAATAAATAAAAGCCAAACAATTCACAATTTGTGCAGCAGTTTTTTATGTCTTTTGTTGCTGTGGATTGCCAGAAGACAATTATGCAGCAGCCACAGCCACAGCCGCAGCCGCAGCCGCAACAATGTTGCAACTGCAGCGGCAACAGTTGCTTCCGCTTCAGCTATGCAAACGATTTGCATGCGCAATATAAATTTAGTCAGCTGCACAAATTTGTAGGCGCTACCCATAGATAAGGGTCGAGGCGGGGGCGTGAGTGCTGTCAAGGGCAGACCGGAAGGCATGTAGACTGCACAGAATTAATTTATTTTAATCTGCGCAAAAAAATGTTAATTAAAATGTCACAAGATAATATGCAGTACATGCCTGACACGCCCAGACGCCCACTCGTCCGATAATCAAAAACCAATATTGAAGCTGATTTGTAGCTGCCACAACGTTAGCTGCCCCATCAGCTATTCATGAGTCCTAGCTGCGCGCACGTCCTTCGACGCCTCGGTACTCACATAAAGGAAAATTTAAATAACATTTCTTTTTCGAATTCCTGCTGCTTTTTTCCTTTGCTATGGAGCGGAGCATATTTTAAGTCCATTAACGCGTCCGAGGGGCCAGGTCGCGTCATAATCACCTTGTTTGTCGGCCGGAACACCTATAATGGGGGGCGTCACGGGCAGGCATTGCTGCCCTCTCCCTTGAGGCAATCGCAGTCGTTACGCCGGATAATCAGCGAGTCGCCTAGCTCACCCGCCCGCCAGCCATCCTGCCAGCCAGCCAGCCAGCCATCAAATAAACGTAATTCAATGCACAAAATGACAACATTTTCATTTTTGGACAATTTCAAATACACCCACCCTGGCCCTGGCTCTGGCCACCCACAAAGTGGAATTTTGGCAGCTGTTGCTGAAGGAGCTTTTCGTTTTTTTTCGTTTCTTTTCTTTTTTTGGCAGCCAAAGCATTTTCGAGTGCGGCGGCTTTGCCTGCCATTTGCATACGGCCAATTGGGCAAAGCTGACAAGAAGTCGTCGTCGTGCTCGTTGTTGTTGTTGTTGACGTCCTTGAAGTCAGCCAAGAATCCAATGATTACGAATTATGCTTATGGACAGGCTCATTACATACGTTAGTCCTTCTAAATTAAGTGTCTATTTGAACAGCAGTAATTTGCTTAGTCATAAGAATTTATCATATGGCATCTGCTATAACCACAGCCGCAGCGCCAGCCACAGCCAACCAGCCACAGCCACAGCCACAGCCACAGCCAGCCAGCCTTTAAAGCCCTTTCAATTCTAACCCTAATAAACTGGCTAAGTATATGGGCTATAAGATGTGTTGAAGCTGCCTAAAAGGAGCTCAGCGAACTGTAATTATGTTTATGCCTAGCTGACGCATTCTGTTTGATGAGTCTCTGAGCAGTTCATTTACACATTTTGCAAGTTTTGAATTCATAATTTATGAATAATTAAAAGTATTTTTATAGAGCGAAGAACGTATAAATTATGTTTAAATTTAGCTCATAATACTGACGGATTTATTGACCAATTCTTAAGCTTAAGTCTATAGAAGGCTGGCTGCCAGCTACGGCATTTTGGCCAATTAAGGCCAATTCCATGTGAAAATCCTTAGATATTCTTTCCCTGCTTCCTAAAGCTTTGATCTATGACTTATTATTTATTATTATTTTCTTCAAATCTCTATAACAGCTATGTCTGTCTGAGTCTCTTCTTTCTTTGACCTATTTAGTCTTAGTAATCGATTAGTCTATACCAGTTGCTTGCCAGGTCATTTGTGGCCTATTCCAAACTAAGTAATGCATTAACTTCATTATTTAGCTAACTATTATTTACGCCGTTAGACTTTCTCCTTTTTCAAGGATGTTCCCCTAGAAGAGATTGCATTACATGTTAAGCTCTTATTTCTTTGTGTTGGTGTTGGAATAAAACTTTATTGATTTGTTGTTTGAATCGTTACAAATATGGCAAATTATCATCAACATGATGATCAGTAGAATCGATAACTACAACTAACATTTATCGATAACAAATATCTATCTTGTGCTTGGAAGATAAACTTATGCACTAAACTTATTGGTGTAAGTGTGTGTGTAAAGGTGTTTGTGTGTGTGACATTTGCTTTATATATTAACTAGTTAGTATGTTGGATTATACATGGTGAGTTAGTTAAATGGAATTCGTTTGCGCGAGATACTCTGCACCAAGTATAGTTGATCCATAACAAGTTGGCCACATCGCTCGCTCCATCTCTTTCGCTCCCTCGCTCTCTGTCTCTGTCTCTGTCTCTGTCTCTCTCACTCGCAGTCACACTCGCACTCACCCAGTCAACTGAAAACGTTGCACATACGACCTGTATGCACGCTAGTTGCTATCGTCGCAATCGCACCCCCAATCATCCATTAGAGACGCTGGCAGCTCCTCCAACGATGCAGCCAAGTGTTATGCAACTACTTAAAGGACTTTATCATTTGCTTTTTGCTAGTTTCTGTTTTTTGTTTGCATTGTTTGAGTTGTGATTTTTAATGGTGCTGGGATTCGCTGCTCGCATCCTCCATCCTGTCAGGCTGTCAATGTCAAATGTGTCTCGATTGGGCTTTAGAGCAGGTAACATTTTCGGCGCCAACAGGAGCAGGTGCAGTGCACATGGCGGTAATAGCGACACAGGCACTTCAGATACTTATAGCCAGCGCAGCAATGGTGCGAATGCGAATGGGAATGGTAATGGCTGTAGCAGGACGTCGTGTCGTGCAAGCAATACGAGTAACAGCCGCAGTCGCACATCTTGCCAGGATCTCTGTCCGTCTCTAATTGTCAATAGCGGAACTTATATTTGAATTTGCTTTTTCCTATTCCTCTTCCTCTTCCACTTCCTCTTGCTCCGTTTCTATTCCAATTGCCAGTCCAGTGGTCGTCCTAGCTCGTTGCTGCCTTTGGCTGAACTGATTTCTGGCCAACGCTTCGTCTTTCAACTTGGCTTAGGTTAGTGGCGGCTGTTGTCCTCGACTGTTGCCCGGCCAACCCAACAGCTGTTTGATCGATGCATTCGTTTTGCGTATTCGTACCACGCCCCAAATACCAGCCAGTCGTTGTTGCTTCTGTTGTTGTTGTTACTGCTTGTTGCCATTATAGAAATCATGTCAATTGATTTTGGGGCCAAACTTCAACTGTGTGGTTTATTTCGCCTTCGCCTTCGCCTGGCACAGCGGCACACTCGAGTTATATGATTAATTCACAATGTTGTCGCCGATTTTTATGACCGACAAAAAAAATATTATAATTTGTATCTGCCGACTGGCCAAAAATAGAAGCCGCCGCCGCCACCATCGTCGTCGCTAAGCAAACGCAAATTCATGCCTGACCCACATTTGGTGCACATTTGATTCTATTAGTCACACAGCTGCCGCCAAAAACAGATGAACGTAGGCTATATGTATCTTACTCACACAGACGCGCAGCTCTATAGATGCAGCTGGGATCGTGATGCAATCGTCGATTGGCACATACACAGATGGCAATCGATGACACATGCAATGACGCGACATCGCACGCGCCAGATGCAAGTTCCGAGCCGTTGACGTCATTTATTTAAGCAGGTAATACGCTGCGTATACGTCATCTCATAGTCAACAGCCAAAGCTGACATCAGATACCACCCCACAGGGCCTATTACTCAATTGCAATTATAGAGAGTGAGAACAGTTTACACAACCCTTCGGAGTGAGCTCATGGGTTCGATCAACGATCAGCGATCAACGATCAACTATCTGCGGATGTTATTCTTATGAAACTGTTAATTGCAACTCTAAATATATAGAAAGTGAGGATCTCAGAATGCCTTGGTCAGTCAAAGATCTTGCATTGATCTTGGCTGCCAATGAGCTCATAAATCTTTTGTAGCTGCACTCACAAATATATTTTTTCGAGTTGTTAATTGCATTGATCAACAAAACTAGTCTGTCATAATAGTAAGTTATGATGAATTAGTTGTCTGTTGCCTGATATATCATGCAATCGATTGTCCAAACTAAAAGCTTATTTCTGAAATGAGATCAGCTTGGGAGCAAGCTATATTGAGCAAAGATCATGATCTTTGCTGCACTCACAACAGAGATCAATAGCTAAGCTTAATAACTATTTATATTTCCATGATCGCTTCACTTTCACAGCATCAATTGTTTAATTATAGCTAAATTAAAAGCTAGACTAACACAGAGATCAAGAACAATTACTTAATGAAATGTAGATCGTTTGAGATCATTCCCTAATGAACTGATCTGTCATTAAATGAAATTGTTTATTTATAACTCATAGTAGACAATGTATTGATGGATTAAACAATTCTACAAATCTATTGAAGATCAGTCTCTCGTCGAGGGAAAGAGTAGAGTTTTCAGGTACTTCAAATATGACGTAGTGTTCTAGGAATCTGTTTAATATTTGATTCAAATTATAGTTCCATTCTGGCTTATTGAAATTCATAAACTTCTTTTCCATGATCACTTGACAGACCTTTCGAATGCTTAACTCTGACTATCATTGATCTTCAGTTTATCAAAATAATATTAATGAGTTTCTTAATTAATTTTTTGGCCAATGCTGAAAACTCTTTCTCTCTCTCCGTCTTTGGCAATTACAGCAGGTGTTTGTCAGCGAGATCTGCAATCATTTACAATTACAAATTCTTCAGCTTATCTTTTAATGGGGGAAACTTGTGCTTTTTAATGAGTTTTTTATTAAGCTAATTTGCTGGACAGTTGCAGCATGTGCGTGTTGCTTATCTGCCCGCTGTGGCATTATAGCCGTGTTGCAAGCTCATTAAAGTCAGCTCCTGCGATTCGAGGACACGTAATGTCAGCTTTAAGGCCATGGACAGTTCGTTTATATATATAGATGTTTTTTGTGCCGTTAGGGACATGGGCAGGTCAGAGAGTGAAGTGTCCTTGTGCGCTTAAAAGTCTTTCGACACGTATTCGCATTGGCAAAAGTTTGTCAGAGCCAGAGCCAGAGCCAAAATGAAGAGTGAACTGTTGAGGTTGAGGTTGAGGTTGAGGTAGAGGTTGAGCTGCAGGTGAAGTGGCAGCAGTTGCAGCCAAAACTGTGGAAGGGTCGCACTATGTGGAGTGCAAGTGCATGGCTTTCAGCCGTTTAGTTCAAGTTGTTTCAAGTAACACTTGAAGGACAATGGGGCGACCAGAACGACTCAACCATATGCACTAGGAATTGGGCTAGGAACGAGCTAGCTGGGGCTACGGACATGGACAGGACGGAAATGCCGGCTGTCAGTATGTGGCAAATAATGGTGTTGCGTGTCGTTTTGGCCACCGCAATGATAACCAACTAAATTTGCAACAGGAGCAACAATAACGGCGGAGAGGAAAAAACTGAAGAGAAATGAAAAAACAACAGGCAGCAGCAGCAGAAGAAGAAGAAGAAGAAGAAGAAGAAGTGGAAAGAAACTTCCTCCACGGCGGCGTTGCGGCGTTGCGACGTTGCGATGTTGCGACGTTCTCGACTGAGAGTTTGCAACCTCGTGAAAAGCGTAACTGACACTTAAATTAAATTTGTTTTCATTTTGGCCCGACAGAAAGTCAACGCGACACATTTTGGGTTTGGGGGCCAAGAAATCAGCGCAAAACACAAAACACAAAAACCGAAAATGCATTTCGCAATAAAATAAATTAAAACGAAAGCCAAGCAAATTTTCTGCACTGAAAGTTGCCCAAAACTCAACGGGGCGTGCGATGGGAACTGCCAAACATGCCGGCGAGAGGGGCGCTGCTAGCGGTGCGGGACTACTGCACTACGGGACTACGGGGGTCTAGCTGGGGCGAGGGCTACAGGAGAGGGGCGTAGCCCACTGATGACTTGGTTTTGCCCCAAACAGCCAAAGTGAAAAGACTAACCGAAACAGCTTGTGACGCCGTGTGCTGTTTGCAGTTTGTTGTGAATGCGAACGCAGACGCCCCCTGGCGGACAAAATTGTCGACACACTGAGTTCTGGTTTGGTTTCGGATAATACCATGCCTAGAGCGACAGTTGTTCAATTCGCAGAGGCTTCGGGGACTCGCATAGCATTTGTAGTTTTAATTTGATTAGCACTCGATATGCATTTAGCTTAAGCTGGGGAAAATTGAAGCTGCTCGAAGTTCAGCTCGCATAAATTGATGCATTTATCGATTAAAGAGCTCTTAACGATATAGATAAGTGGAGTTTTGAGAGTTTGTTCTCGTTAGTATCAATTGAATCACTCGCTAAGCATAGAAAGAACTAAGTTGCTCAGATTGATCATTGAATAAGCTTAAAAGAATTTAGTGCAGTAATCGATAACAGAGTAGCTTTTCAATATTTTATGAACTAACCATTGTTAAAGTCTGATCGAGGCACGCTAGAGGTGCTTTAACTTACATTTTGTTGAATCTTGCAAAATAATATCGTTTCAAGCAAATGATAGCAAAACTAATAAACCGATCAATTATCGATAGGTCATATGAAGAATTCATTAGTTAGTCTTATTAAAGATATGCTAAATCGATAATTTATTGATAAAGATATTACTAGAGACGGCTATATTTGGCCATACTTCAGGTTTGCGGAAAGGGAAAACTTTTGCTGTTTGTCGAGTTCCGTCCAGATATATGTATGGATGCTACAATTACTGTTGCTGCTTGGCTTGTGGATGCACCACTCAATGCTTCAAAACGTCAACAAAGCTGTCGGCCAACGGAGTCAGAAGCCAACTACTGCCGTAGCATCAGAGCGCATTTACTCAGTCCCTGCTCCGCTGCCTCTTCCCTTCTGCCCTCTGGGATGGTTCGGTCGTGTCCGTGTCCGTGTCCATCCGTGTTCCGATGGCATATTGTGTTCATGCCAAAGCGATTGCCCGCCGCATTTAGCTGTGCAGTGGGTTTGCGTTGGGTTTGCCGGTGGGCTATGGTGTTGCCATGGTCATGTTGGATTTTCCATCGTTTGTTTCGCACAAAATTCCTGCTTCCTCTCGCATTTATTGTCGGTTGATGTGTTTTTATTTTGTGAGTTTTTGATGTGCATGCAGAGCTGGAATGCCATTGGTGGAGGGGGCTTAGGTGTCAGGGAAACAACCAAAGCCGCAGCCAAACAAACACATTTCAATCAAAACGCTTGACGGGTTGACGGGGGAATCAGCAGCAAGTGCAACAGCAGCAGCCACGTGGGTGGCCACGTTTTTCCCTACAGCCGCGACAAAGTTCAGATGGAGAGGGGGGCTTGAACTCTGCCAACTGAGCGACTGGGCCCTAGAAACGGGGAACTGGAAACTGCGAGTCTGGGCATGCGTCCACCTATTTACGCTGCAGTGCGGTTCGCTTAAGGCATTGCACTCTGATTCCAAACAACACGAGAAGGACAGTAAAATAGAAGATGTGCATACTATATATAGAGCTCTAGTAGGTATGACTTTGTTTGCAAACATTGTGAGCTCTGATCAGCTGAGAGATAAGAATAGACATCTAAAATTCGCTGTAGATATTTATTGATGATCGATTGTAGTAGGAAATTATCGATTGTAAAGGTTACCAGATCCGAACTGGATAGTCAAAATAATGCTGAAGCACTCATGTTGAGATGGGTTCACAACTAGATCTCTCTCTCTCTCTCTCTCTCTCTCTCTCTCTCTCTCTCTCTCTCTCTGATAGAGCTGAAAATATTTCAAGAATACTAAAAACCTTTCTGAAGAACATAGAAGAAAAGCAATCATTAATGTTGCCTTGACACTTATCGATTAACGATTACAGATGAAAAGGTTGTAATAGAACCAATGTGCCATTGTGTTGGCTGCAACTGTTGCTGCTTGTTGCTGCTATTGCTGCATGTTAGCCATGGTCATTGCCACAACTACCGCAAAATGGCACTTGGTTGGTTTTTGACACAAGTTGACGCGCATGCAGCGCGAGAGCTGCGACTGGCATTGTCAGC